AGAAAAAAAATCTGTTGTAAAAGAATGGACTAGTGTCATACCAGTTAGCAATGCATTCCAGCACTCTAAAATCAAATGTACTCCTGCATGGGATCCTATAGATGGAAATTTATTAGCTATACCTTTTAGCAAAGAAATAAAATTGTTCCAAAGAGGTTTATGGAGAGAACTTTACACATTACATGATTACCGATTATCAGAACAAGTAATTACATCCAAATACTTTTTTATTTTATAATTTTATCTGAATGAGCTTCAATAAAAATCATTAATTGCTATAGCCGAGGTACTTTTCCACTATTCCGACAATCGTGGATCTCAATCCTGTTATCTTAATAACCACTCAAAAGCTGCAATTACCTCCCGTCAAAAGTTATGTTGTTAGTGACCACAGTAATTTCTGTCGTTAAAATAGTTAAACACTTTTAAAAGCTAGTTTAGTTGTATCTAACTTTGAGTCTCTAATAAATGAAGAAATAAAAAGGTAAGAGAACCATATGCCATTTTTTAAGTCCTATCTGACTGAGTTTATCTGGAGACAAATATCGTAAGAGAATATGTATCTATTATCCATTTGATAACAATGAAAAATATTTCCAAAAATAATATCCTTGAATAAGGATACTCTTGAGAATTCTATTCAAAATCCAATATGTTGGACATATTTTTATTACCTCTCATAAGAACATTAAGAACCCATATATTATTTATTTTGATTCCCTTCTTTTTTCTGTGATTATATTAATATTATACTTATATAAATAATAATTCACGTGTATTAACAGACAGTGCTATAAAGTCAAAACTTTAACAAAATTGAGACTCGTGGTAGTCAAGATAACTGAAAAGTACCTAACCTGATATAGTGATATTTCTTTGCTATACAATGATTTAATGTTATTCTAGGAGATCACTGTTATGAGTTGGTCAAAATGTGGCAGATATATAGCTGCTGGAACAAACACTGGATTTATTTTGGCGTGGAATGTATCATCTCAAGTAATTGTATTACATGCAGAATGTAAGGAACGATATTCTATAAGAAGTTTAGTCTGGTGCCCTAAAAATGGTGAACACACTTTAGCCTATTGTGATGATCATGGCCAGTTAGGTTTGGTTCAAAATGCTGGATCAGATGATTTTAGTGTAGATGCAGTAAGTTTAAGTAATACTTCATCTAATTTAATAGCAATAATTCATTTTTATTCACTCATTATTAATATTTAGTTGTATCAACAAAATTGATTAATTTATCAATTGCTTATTTGCACATTATGATTCACATGGATATGTTATCTTAGCTATGTGCTTCAAAACTGGATACAATCCAGTGAGCGGTGAACTCCATTAATATTAATTGGGTTCACCCCTAAATTATTATTAATTGTGGCCCAATTCTTATTTTAGACTAATGGCAAGGAAAACATATTGATGACAGATGAAGAGTCCAGTGATAATGTTATATCATTAGATCAAATAAAACATGATGCTGAAGTTGAACTTAATAAGCAAAGAGGTGTTTCTTTAAATAATGTTGATGGTTTAGAAATTGACGAGGACAACAGCAATTTGTCTTCTAAATATATTCCTCCAACTGCTGGTTTCACTGTGGATCTACAAAGTCCATTTCAACCTTGTTCAACACCTGTTCATCTACAAAGGCGCTTCATGGTAATCATTAATAGGATCCAACTTGTTACAAATATAAATTTATAATATAATTTTATTTATTTGCTTATTAATTTAAATAACTTAAAAATTTTCAAGGTTTTCAATGATGTTGGTTATGCACGTCAAAATAACACTGCTGATGAAAATGTAATTGATGTAGATTTTCATGATAGCACTATCCATCATGCTTTTCGTATCAAAAATGTCTTAGGGCACACTATCGCTGCTATGTGTCAAGAAGCATTAGTTTTAGGTTGTGAAACTCAAGATAATACACCCAGGTATTTAAACATAAATATAAAATACTATCTTTGATTTAATATTAAATGTATTAATGGCAATTCAAATAGCAAATTGGTTTGTGTACTACTGAATTCATGGGATGGTAAACGCGAATGGACTGTTGATATACCTGATGATGATGATATATGTGGATTAGCTGTTACTTCTGATTGGATTGCGGTAGCTTCAGTATCGCGTTTATTAAGATTATTCACTCTTGGAGGTGGCCAAAGAGAGATCATATCTATACCTGGACCTATAGTAGCTATACAGGGATCCAGAGACCGTTTAGTTGTTGTGCATCATTGTGGGGCCCGTATGTATTAACTACTTTATTATACTGTTGAACATATTTTATAAAATTGTTTTTTATTTTTATTTAGCTATACCTGGTGAACAAAATTTGCGATATTGTGTATACAAGATTGATAGCAGTGTTGAAGCTATTTGTTCTGGTTATGTGCCACTGTTTCCAAAATCAACTCTTAGATGGGTTGGTTTTTCTGATTATGGATCTTTGTGTATTCTAGATTCTGCTGGAACTTTACGAATGTTGATTAAATCCTATTGGAGTCCCTTATGTTATGTAGATAATACGGTAATTTAAATTAACCAATAATAATGATTTAGACATTTTTATTTTTATATTGATTAAAAAAAAAATTTTTAGTGGAATGACACTACAAATCATTATTTTGTCATTGGAGTCAGTGAGGCACGTCAAGATATACGATGCATTCTTTGTAAAGGTTCTTATTATCCTTCAACAACACCTCATCCATTTTTAAATGAAATACCCTGGCAGGTTATTATTTTTATAATTTTATAATTTAATGTAAATTGCAATTATTTTATTGTTTAAGATCCCATTGTGTGATCTTAATCAAGAAAAAGGTGAATTAGAAGAAAAGTTTTGGAGATCCAATATAGCTTTATCAATTTTACCTGAAGAAGAAGGTCTGCAATATGATAAAGAATTAAAAACTACATTTTTAAAGCTGTTCGCTGTATGTATTAAATAAATTAACTTATTGATGAATCATATATAATAACAAAAATAACTAATGCAACCCTTATTGATTTTTTCTTTAGATGGCATGTAAGAGTGGTCATGATATGAGAGCATTAGAGATATGTAAACTTATACGATCTGAGCAATATTTAAATTTAGCTCTGAAATATACTATGAGAGTTGGGAATAGTAGTTTAGCATCAAAAATTACAACAATTATAGAAAATGAATTAAAAGTAGATGATGAACCAAAACCAGTAACATATTCAGAATTATTTAATGGTCCATCAACTTCATATAAGTAAGTTGTACAACTTGATGATTATTTTTATTATGAATTTTATTTAAAAATCAATCAAAATAGTTTTTTGTTTATGAAGAGTTCTTGAATTCTGTTTTCTAATTTTTATGACCGAGTTAAAATATCAATATAAATAAACAAATTTTACAAATTATTTTAATGAGTATACATTTTTTAATAGTGTTAGTTCTATAATTAAGCTTCTACACAAATTTATAAAAAAAATGATTTACTTTTATTTGCTAAAACAATTTWATACAACTATTTAAACAGTARGATTGATTTTTTTATCTTTATCATTTTTAACAAAAAATATTTAATAACTGTTGCCTATTAACTGAAAAATTACTCGTTTGAATTTTAAATTGGGTATATCAAAATTTTTTAAACAATTATTCACTAAACAATTCACTAGAAAAAAGAAGGTGGGGCTATTATTTGAAAATGCAAATTGTATCGCTATTGGATATTTCTTTGTAGTAGGTATAACAAATCTTAGGAGTTTAAAAATATGGTCTTTAGGTTAGGAAACTCCTTTAATAATAATTTGGATAAATTCATTATTTGATGAAAAATAGTGGTGAGTATGCGTAGTTGTATTTCATATATTTTACAAATTTATTAAGTAATTAATTTCTAATTTATAGTAAGAATACAAACTATGTTTCACAACAATCGCAAGATTTATTTTCTGAAAAATACAGTCCAAATGATACTGAAGACAATAATAAAGGTAATATTTTAATTTTATTAGTTTTATTATTACTTATTTACTATTAATGATATACATTATTTTTGTTTTAAAATCTGATGATTAATGATCTGATAATATAATATTAGTCTTACTTCACTCATCTCTGATCAAGGATTTGGATTTGGGTATCAAATTTGATGTTCGTGATAAATTATTGTATTCTTAAAATTAATTCTGAACAAAGATTTGTAAACCATTTAATAGAAATTTATATTTACTCTTAGAGAACTATATATATTGTTATTACCAATAATTTAGTTACCTTAATGTATGGAAATTAATTAAAAGTTAAATATTATATTACTAAAAATAACTAAACAATTAAATTATTTAAAAAAAATTGTTTGTTGGAAGTTTTAGAACCATCAAGTATTTTAGCAGTTATCAAAAAGAAACAAGAATCTGAACTAATGAATGAATCCAATGATATAGATCGAGCTTTTAATCCATTTAAAAAAAAAACTGGTGGACAAGCTAATATTTCAATTGATTCTCTTTCGCCATTTGATCAAGTAAATTATTTTTTTTATTCTATATATTTATTTTAACATAGAATTTGAACATATTTTATACTTATTTATTAATTTTAAACTGTCTTAGACAAATGAGCCCTTGAGTGACAATAAAAGAAAATCTGACTTAAGTGACAGTTCGGAAGACATCAATTCAATAAACAAATCAAAAAAACCCAAAGGAGTTTCAAAGTTATCATCTTTTATTTTTAAAAAATAATTTATACTTTTATTATTAATAATTTATTGTTTTTATCATTTTTACTTAGTATGTGACTGGTGTATAATATGTCCTAAATAAAGTTTAAGTCAAATTGTATTTTATTAATTTTGTTACTCGCCAGTAAAAATAAATAAATAAATATATATATATTTATTTATTTATTTATTTATTTATATATATGTGAATAATGAATCTTTAAATCACTATTTGATGGTACCTTGACCCCTTGCACATGTTATTTTGTTACCTTAGGAATAAAGTTCAGTAGTGGTAGAAACTAATCAATAACTCATATCACCCCTTCTTTAGTTTTTAAATGTACTATAAATTATATCTATTGCACTCCAAACTAGTAAACTTAACAATATGTAGATCTATTAAAACATTATGGACTTTAAAATAACTAATTACTTACCAAGATTTAAAGAAGAACTACCACCAATCAATAGGCCACCTCGTTCATCTAGTAGTAAAACAATTAAGGTAAATATAAAAATTAATATTTGTAAAAAAAAATAAGCATTTGTATTATGGGAATTTATATTTTATATTACTTAAGAACCTTAAAACTTCAATTGAACAAACAGAATTATTAAATAAAATTGATCCATTAATATTGGTTGCTCAGTATGAAAGAGATATCAACCGAATAAAAATGAATCACAACCAAATGTTAGAAGAACTTCATAAAGAATTAGAAATATTAAGGTCCAAGAATCGAGGTATTGTAAAAACAACTCGCAATAAATATTTTGATGAAGTTTAATTTAATATTTAAATTATTGTTAAGATCTTTTAGATGAATTGATTATAATGAATGGTGGAAACTATTGTTGCAAGCATTTAGAAAGTTTGCGGTTTGAAATTTTAAAATCTAATGCAAGTGATAATCAAAAACAACTAAGTGATATATTAAACAATGCTAAAATTCATCAGAAATCTACTGAAGACATTAAAAATGATAAAAATTACAAGTAATATATCATTTTTTATCAATTTATTGGATTCAGGAAACCATAAATGACTAATGACTATAACAGTGACATTCAGTCAAAAATGAGATAAATTAACTACTATTTCAAAAGTGAAATAAACTTGAATATTTTGAATATATAACTATGTTCTATATTAGTATCAGATAATAGCATTTGTAAATTGAATGGCTAAATATTTTAAATTAATAATAAATTACTTTTTCTAGCTACAAAAAAGAACTACCTGAATTAATAGCTGTAGGGAACAAGTTCATAAGTAAAGACATTGAAAATAAATCAAATTTACTTTTGCAAGAACAATTATATAAAAGCAATAAACTGATTGATATACTTAGACAAGAAAATATTCAACAAAAGGCAGAGGTAATTTTTATAAACATAAAATAGMCTGATATAAAATGATTTTATTTTAGTAGTAATATATTATAATTGGCTAAATTAACTAACTGAATAAAAAAAATTCTACCTTAGTACTTTAAAATATGCTAAAAGATATATGGCTATAATGTAATAAATTGATGTTGGAATAATTATATATATACAAACTATAAAGTACCTAACAAATAGATTTAATATTTTCAAATAATTTAATTCTTTTTTTTAACAGCTAACTTCATTAAATTCTTTATTAAATAAGAGGTTGACAATTTCTGGTGTTGGATTGAATAATAGCCTGGTCAGTACAAACTCAAATTCTCACAGAAGATTTCTATCTTCATTATCTCATCCTACTATTTCTTACATGGATATTATCAGTTCAGAGTAAATATATTTATTATTAATTTAAAATTTAAAAATAATATATTAATTTAAAGTTTAATTAATGGCTATTTGTATTGACTTAATGTTAATTATTATGCAATACATAATGAGTTACTTGTAGACTCTAAAGTGTAAATATTACTTACTAAATTTACCTCAACATGTTAATTTAATGAATTATTATTATTTTTTGTTAATTTTTAGGGAAAATGCTCGGCCAATATCTAGAAATGAATAATTTGTATAATAAATACATTGTGTTTCCATGGATGTAAGATGTAACATATATTATGTATACCATTATTGCCATTATGTACAAGTAATATTTGTATAGCTTAACACAATTGATGGACATCATAATATTAGATAATTTGAAAACAATTTTTTTAATGATTATTGATTATCTATACCTACCTTAATATTTTTTTAATTATGATAATTGATATGTGTACATATAGTACTATTACAGAATTACGTAACCAAATGACGCCCCTACGGTTAATGATATATCACATATCGCGTAGTGATGGGAATAATCGAATGATTTCGATAATCGAGAGATTAGTAATCGAGATATTATAATAATCGAGTAATTCACTCGATTATTTTAATCGAGAGAATGGTCACTATTAGTCGCTAGTCGCCGAGATATAATAATCGAGAACATGACGTAATCAATAGATAAGAATCACTCAAATAATATTACAAATTTACGGTCGATAATACTGCAGCTTAACTCAAGATCTATAA